ACCTGCCCAACACAACCCAAGACTCAAATACAAAGAGTAAAGGATGGAAATGAGAATGAGACAACAACACATCCACGGAACCGAGTCCAGAATACAATAAATAAAGAGAGGAAAAACTAGGATCGCTATAGAGCCCGAAAGCCCCGGCTCGAATTTGAGAAGGAAAAATGAGGAAGAAGAAGAAGAAGAGAAGAAGGAAGAAGAAAAAGAAGAAGGAGAAGCAGAACTGGAGGGGCCATGAAAATCGGGCTGGAGACGGAGGCGGAGGCGGGGCTGCGATGCGACGATCAGCCGACGAGCTGTGACGATTAGCCGACGAGCTGTGACGATTAGCCGACGAGCGACGAGCTGCGACAACGACGAGCTGCGACAACTCTCTCTCGCCTCTCGCCTCTGTTTCTTTTCTCTTGTGTTCAAAACGAAGAAGAAGAAGAAAAGAAAGAAAATGGAGAAAAAGAAGAAAAAAAAAATTGAAACCCAAAACGATGTCGTTTTGGGTTTCGAGCCGAATTCGAGCTACTGATTTCGGGCCCTCCAACATTTTTCAAGGATCATAGATCAATTGATTATTTATTCGTGTCACGGGATTTTTTTATTTTTTTATTTTTTATTTTTTATTTTTTTTTTGTGGACTCTCTTTAACAATTGATTGTCTGACATGATTATACTATATTGACAAATAATCATAAATAAATAAAAAATCATAATTAACTTGGTCAACTCTCTTGGTGTTAAATGATGGATTTTATTATATGAGATAAAATCACCAATAGGAAGGCTTAGACTAGCAAGATTGGATTATTATATGAGATAAAATCACCAATAGGAAGGCTTAGACTAGCAAGATTGGAATTTTGGACCATGGAAATTAAAGTGTTGAATAGAGAATATATAATAATGGTGACAGCTAAGTTTAGTTGGTATCTTTGAATGAATACCAAAAGTCTAAAGATTAAAACGTTCATTTGATTCTTTAGTCCAAGTCCATGATCACCATCACAGTAAAAACTAAATTAAATAAAAACAAAGTTGAATGGATATTTCATCTGTGTTTTTTTAGGGGAAATTATCTGTCAGTGTATGAATAAAAATACATTTTTAAATTAATGATATTTTTTATAAATATTAATATGTAAAATCATAATCTTTTTTATGATTTTGTAATTAAGATTTGAAGACTACATTGACAATTAATTTCTCCAAATTTATATCTCCTAAAAAATTATTTTTTAATTTATTTAAATTATCTTTTCAAAATAAAAGGTACATCCTCATCCAATTTTTCAAAATTAAAAAGAAAATTCATAAATAAATCCAAAAGCTACAAGGAATTTATCCACCTAGCTTTTATTCTTTTAACTTTTTATTCATTTATAATATTACAATTAGCAGTTGACCCGTGCAATACACATGTTTTTTTTTTTAATAAATATTTGAAGGTACAATGTGTTATAAAAGAATAATTTTAATTTTAATTTAAAAGTAAAAATAAAAATAAAATATGATTTTAATTATTTATTTTAATAATATTGACGCTATCGTTCTATAAAATTATTACTTGAATACTTATATATTTTAATTTTAGTTAAATTATTTTTGTATTTTGATAATTTTAGTTCAATCATATTATAAAAATGTAATTATCGTATAATAATTTTGTATGATATATATTAAATTATAAAATAGTAAAATAAATATTGATATTAAAAATAATAGTTAAATTAGAAGAAGAATTAGTAACATAAAATTAAAAGTAAGTCTAACTATTTAATTTTCTTTTATATTCATTGGGAAAATAAAAATATATAGAGATTGAAACTATATAAAATTTATTGAAAAAATTAAATATAAATAAGTTGTAATTAGATTATCATATAATGATTTTCTATGATATGTATTAAATTATAAAATTGTAAAATAAACACAGTTAATTAAATTAAAATATGAACTATATAAAAAAATTTAACAATGGCTAATCAAGAAAGAAATCATAACATCTAAACTTAAAAAGAAAAAATAAATGAAAACATCTAAATGATAGATACTTTTCAATATGTGAAGTGATTAATTATGTGTAATATAATATCAAAACATAAAAAAATAAACTTTAATATATATATATTTTTTGGTGGCATATACATTTCCTTCTCCCTGTCATTTTCATCCTAACCAAATTTAGACTTTCTTTCCTTCTCATGTGCAGCTTCCTCCTAATGTCCAATGGAAAGACAAAAATGGAGGAATAAAAGTATGGCACGTAATGCTTATCTAAAGTGCTCACTCCTTGTTTTTTTGGGTCAATTGACCTAACATTCATACTTTTCAAATATCAATATCAAGATAATTATGTAAATTAGACAATCAGCTATTAAAAAACTAATCAATTATATTTTAGGTTAATTACTAATAAATGTTAATAGTTAGATTTAATTCTAATTAAGTCCTATTGAAAATACATGCTTTACATTTGTCGCTAAAAATTAACAATTAGTGAATTGGAGGTAACTTCAGTTATTGGCCATCACGATGCTAACCTCTTGGGTACGGGGAGCGGGTTGTGACAAGTGGTATTAGAGCAATGGTTTATAAAAAATAAATAAATAAATAAAATCATCATTGGAGCATAGGACACGCACACATTTAAGAAGTAGGATAGCGGGCAATTAGTACCTAAATATTATATTTGTTAGTCGATTTAATTATATTATAATTTTTTCCTGCTATCACTGATGTATAATTATATATATATAAAATGGTAAATTACCTGGCACTTTTAGAGATTTGATTCAATTACATTTCACATATTGATTTTTTGGAAATTACATTCTCATTCATGTGGTTAATAATCTTATTTCATAAGCTTCCTACTTATATAAAAGGTAACAAGTCCTAGTAAAAAATAGAGGAAATTACATTGGAAAAAAAAATAAAAGAAGTAAAGCAGAGTAATAAAAGAGAGAGTGTATAAGTTCAATATATTTAGTAGTTTGAAACTTTCATTTGCGTTGTGCATCTTATTTTTTTGATAAATTACACTTACACCATCTGAAATTTGAGTTTAATGTATATCACTCCTAACGTTTGAGCAATTACATTAACCTTCCTGTAATTATAATTATTTCGATAGAAAAGACTTTAAAAAGTTGATTAAAAAATAATTTTTTAACTTTTTGTAAAAAAATATATGAAAAATAATATCATACAAAATAAATTAAAAACTAAATTCACTTCCCAAAAAGCCCTACACTTCTATTGAGATGTAGGAGTCTGGTCCAATAAACTAGTATCGTTGGTTCTTATCCCCAAAAAAATCCAATCATACCGTGTCCACGTGACAAATAGTATAACACGTCCAATGGTGCAAGTAGGCCTGTCAACGGGTCGGATCCGGTCCGGATCTATCGAAATCCGATCCGATCTTATTAACCAGTAATCCAAATCCGAATCCGAATCTGATTATTAAGAATCCGACTACTTACAACCCGATCCGATCCGTATAATCCGACCCGATCTTTTTTTTTTTTTGGTTTTGTTTTTTTTGTTTTTTTGTTTTTTTTTGTGTGTGTAAAATTGTGATCGGGGTTGATTCCGGCAAGAAGAAATGACAAGTTTGTGGAATGAAAACGAGTTGGGTGTGAATGGATTTGCAAGAACAAATGCCAAAGGTGATTTAAGAAAAAAACCACCACTTCATCTTGCATTTTTGGGAGGAGGGAGGGCTAAAAAGTACAACTGCCATCAAGAAAACATCAACTCTTGAGTTCCAATGAACTACTGCTAACAAATATAATTGAATTCCAATGAACTGCTGCTAACAAATATAATTGAATTCCAAATATGTCATATTACACGCAAGGAAAAATTGAAATTATGGACATCCTGTTTCCATCTGTTTGTGCTATGACTTTGTGAAGCACACTCTTGTATTTGCCATTGGTGATTACCTGTGTGTAGAAAATAAATGTATGAAAGTCCACTACACATGCATAAATCCCAACAACAAAATGAACATGAAAGTAGCTGCAGATTTGATAAACTTGGAAATCTTCTTGAGCCAACATATTGCACACAAGGAAAAATTGAAATTAAAGGTCATGTAAAGGAAGGGTTTCCCAAGAAGAACCATCACTACAGCATTTTCCAAGGTAATTGAGAGGACTCAATAATAGACAAAACCACAACCTATACAACCGAATTAACTGTCACAGAATACAACCGTGAAGAAGAACAGACTATGCCTCAATCTGACAAGGTTGATTACGTAAATAGTTTATTTTCAGCATATTCTTCTCCTCTTCTAAATTTGCTGGATCAAAAATAGGACACTGTAATTGGATAACAAACTGTCAAAAGCAATGTTGTGTTGTCAACAGAGTCAAAAAAAAGATAATTGCAGTGAGTTCTTAGTCATTAAAGCTTCAATTGTCGATTCCAATGATTCAACCTGCATAGAGAAAACAACACAAGCACCTTAATCAATACTCATGAAATAGCCCAAACTTCAAAAGCAACTATTTTGAACATAAATTAGTGACAATATATTCAAGTTCAAAGATTAACTTCACTTTTATCTATATAAATTTAGCATGAGGGTGACAATTTTCCATTTAAGTTATTTGTTCTAAAAGCTATACAAGTCAAAATGATTCTGGAAAAAATGCATGCAATGTGACATAATTAAAGGCAGCAAAAAATCACCTGCATATGCCTGAGACAAAACACAACAAAATCAAGAGCTGTGAGTTTCTATAGAACAACTGTGCAGAGAAGACAATCTAATTGTCTCACCACTAGATGGGACTTGAAGCTTAATTATAGGTACTACAAGATCAAGAGGAAGACTTGAAAGAACAAGTGTGAAGGCAATCTAAATATATATTTTACTTTAATTAAGTGTGTCTAATAAGTTACACTATAGTCTATATGATTTGAGTATCTTCTGTAAGATTGTATGATGTGATCAATCCACATTAGTAGGTTGTTTAGGTCAGTCAAGCCATCTACACAATATCTGGAGGTCTCATTGTGTCTTCTACATCTGCAATTTCAAAATAATGTGACATTAAGATATTTATAGAACTAAACTACAGAACATCTAATTATTTAAAAACTTCAATATTTCACTTACTTCTATTTTTGGTTGATTCAATCCAATCATTGCAAGTGATCAAGGCCTCCACAATATCTGGAAGTAATAAAGCACGTGTCTCATCAATCACCCTACCTCCTACACTAAACGCCGCCTCTGATGCAACCGTAGTAGCAGGAACACTTAAAACATCACGAGCTATCCTTGCCAAAGTAGGAAATTTTGCTTTATTCACTTTCCACCAATGTAGAATATTGAAGCTCTCATTACTTGGAAACACCAACTCCTCCAAGTATTGCTCCACCTCTGATTTTTGATAGGCATGAATGTTAGAAGCACGTTCTTGGGCATACCACGCATGAAAAGCAGCCAAACTTTCTTCTTTCGAAGAAGCCACATGCAATTGACTACCACTTGAGCTACTATTTTCGGAAACAGGGGCAATGCAACTCATAGAATCAGAAGAATCACTCTTAATCTCATAAAAAAGATCAACAAAACCATTACGGACCCTCTGAATATGCTTGTTAGCATCAACACCATAAATAAGCCCAAAGTAGTATTCCACCAAGTCCATTTTAAATCTCGGATCGAGAACCACTGCAATTGCTAACACCAAAGAACATTCTTTCCAATATTTTTGAAATTTCACTCTCATTGGACCAGCCATCAATCGAATGCAATCATACTCACTTTGCTCCCATTTTTTCATTTCAAGTTGAATAAGACAAATATCGGGAAAAAACACATTTGAAGTCGGAAAAGTGGTACCACTAAAGTGAGATGTAGCATCAAAAAAAATCTTCAAGCACCCACAAATCACATTTGCTACATTCCACTCATCCTCAGAAGGATTGTGCTTATATTGTTTGTCAATTTGCCCTAAGCGGTGGAATGCACTTTTCAAATCTAATACAGCTTCATGTATTGAATAAGTGGAGTTCCATCTGGTAAGAACATCCATGGGGACTTTCTTTTTATGATGTAACTTAACATGATTCACTGCAACATCAAATTTTTGTTTTCCATAAGGAGACCTCCCTAAATATCTCACACTTTCTCGGATTTTTGAAATAAGACTCCCAATCACCTTCAAACCATCCTGAACAACTAAATTCAATATGTACGCGCTACAACGCACATGAAACAATTGTCCACCCAAATGTAGTAATCGCATTGCATTACCGCGCGTGATGGGAGCACCATTTGTTTTAGTTTTTAATCCAAAGATCTAATTTTAGGTGGAACTATAGATAAGAAGTGTTGTTTTCAATGGTAGTCGATTAATTGTCAACGAGTAATGGTTGTCTGGTGAGTACTCACTATTAAAGCGAGATGGCTACAATGACCAAGGATA